TTCTTGCCTGTTGCCCAGGCTGGAGTGCAGTGGCGTGATCTCAGCTCACTGCAACCTCTGCTTCCTGGGTCGAAGTGGTTTTTGTGCCTCAGCCTCCAAAGTAGCTGGGATTACATGCACCTGCCACCACGCCCAGCTAATTTTTGTATTTTTAGTAGAGGTGGGGTTTTGCCATGTTGACCAGGCTGGTCTTGAACTCCTGACCTGAGCTGATCTGCCGCCTTGGCCTCCCAAAGTTCTGGCAGTACAGGTGTGAGCCACTGCGCCCAGCCATCATGTTAGCTCTTACCCCTGCCTGTCACATAGGATGGTTGGAGGTTTAATTAAATGTAAAATGTGAATGTGAAACACCTAATGCAGGGCTGGACCCCTTACTTGGTGCTCTGCAGAGGGAGCTGCTGCTGCTTTTACAGAAATCATCCTCATGGCAGTTGGGTCTTCCAGGCTGTAGAATTGTCCTGTGCCATGGGCCGATAGCCAGCAAGAGTTAGCCAAGCCCCCAGTTCGGCTGTGTGGTTCACATTTCAAATTGGCTGCTCAGGTCATTGTTGGTTTGGTAAATCAGCTGAGTGTTGGCTGTTGGCAAATGAAACTATGTTTCACCGTTGGTCTCACTCAGAGCTGGGAGCCAAGCTCAGCGAAAACTTTCCATGCACTTTCACTTGTGCCTTAATAAATAACAGGCGATTACGAAACTGCTATTGGCAGTTTCATGTTCATTGTTGAGAAAGGGTGGGGCGATGGTGAGTTGGTACTTCCTTGAAGACACTCTTTTCCTCTCATCTTTTAGAGCACGTGAGTGCTCAGCAGGTTTGGGGAGGGGAAGGTTGGAAAAGTCCTGTCTGTGGGAGACAAGGCACCAGAGGGTGCCATGCTTGTGTCTCCAGGCCATGTGACCACACGGAGGTCCTCACGAGGTTTTCCTGCCCCTGTCTCCCACCTGCTGTCCACCTCTCCCCAGTACACTACCAGAAGATCATCCACCGTGACATCAAACCTTCCAACCTCCTGGTCGGAGAAGATGGGCACATCAAGATAGCCGACTTTGGTGTGAGCAATGAGTTCAAGGGCAGCGACGCTCTCCTCTCCAACACAGTGGGCACGCCCGCCTTCATGGCGCCCGAGTCGCTCTCTGAGACCCGCAAGATCTTCTCTGGGAAGGTGAGCTTGGGCCTGCCTCAGCCACAGAGTTCTGCCTGTGTTAGTCTTTTGGGTTTTGAGCAGCAAGAATCCAACTCACCCAGGCTTAAACAGTGAATCCACTGGATCGTGATACTGAGGTGTAGGCTTCAGGCTTGGCTAGATCCAGGGACTCAAACAGAAACCATCTCTCTCCATCTTTCAGTTGTTTTCCTTATTTGGTTTCCTCTATAGGTGGGTCAGGCACCAAGGGTCCAGGTTACTTTCAATCATTTGCCAACCTCAGTGGCAATAGCGTTCCTCTTTGACTAGCTCCTGCAAAAACCCTGGGGTTGGCTCTGATTGGCCCAACATGGGTCACGTGTCCATGCTTCAACCAATCACTGTGGTGGGGGATACTGGGGCCCTCATTGGCCTGGCCTGGATCCTGTGCCTGTGCCAGAGCCTAGGAGACAGGATTGGTCCCGCCCCAGCTCCAAGGGCTCAGAGTCAAGAGGTGGCTCCCCAAAGGAAAGCTGGAGGACTGGATGCTGGATTGCCCTTTGTGCCCCCACACTAAGCTCTCTTTTTCTTGCAGGCACTGGATGTTTGGGCCATGGGTGTGACACTCTACTGCTTTGTCTTTGGCCAGGTAAGAGGGTGGGGTGTCCCATCCCCTTGGTGCCACTGGGTGGTCCCTGGACTAATAGTCATCCTTGTGGGGAGACCACACTTACTTATGTAAGAGTTATTTTAGGCCGGACACATTGGCCCACACCTGTAATCTTAGCTACTCAGGAAGCTGAGGCAGGAGAATTGCTTGAGCCCAGGAGGTATAGGTTGCAGTGAGCTGAGATCACGCCATTGTACTCCAGCCTGGGCGACAAGAGGGAGACTCCATTTCAAAATAAAATAAAATAAGAGTTATTTTATTTCTACATCTAGATCTCAATGTGAAAAAGGATGCCTTCTTAAATGTATATGTGTGTGTATGTCATAATCTTATCTGTGAAAAAATGATCTGTTAAAACAGAAGGATTGGCAGAGGCTCTAGAGTTTATAAATAGTTGATAAATTTAAGGCAAAGAGAGCAATTGTGCCACCTCTCCCATTTCTGAGCCCAAGACAGACATCACTGATCAATAACTATGTTCATTCCTCCTGAGCCTGATACTGCTCCGATGTTTTTTCCATCAGGGTATTCCTAGAAGCTACTGTCAGAGGGGTAGCATTGGAATACACATTAAAAGCTGTTTACCGTTATTGATTTAGGGAGTGCTGTTTGGGCTTTTCTGTTTTTGTTATTGTTATTATTGATATCTTTTTTTTTTTTGAGATGGAGTCTTGCTCTGTCACCCAGGCTGGAGTGCAGTGGTGTGATCTCGGCTCATTGCAACCTCCACCTCCTGGGTTCAAGCGACTCTCCTGACTCAGCCTCCCAAGTAGCTGGGAACAGGTGCCAGCCACCACGCCCAGCCAATTTTTGTATTTTTGCAGAGATGGCTTTTTGGCATGTTGGCTGGGCTGGTCTCAAACTCCTGACCTCAAGTGATCCGCCCACCTTGGCCTCTGAGAGTACTGGGATTTGGGATTACAGGTCTGAGCCACTGCACCTGGCCTTCTCGTTTTAACTCTGAAGTTCAGTTTGATTATGTGAGCAATAAAAATGTAGATTTTTCCCTTTCCTGAGCTTGTGTTCTTATTGAGGAAAGCTTAAGAAACCTATGAAGAAATAAAGGAGTTTATAACGATTGCCTCTCAGTATTTGATGAGAAGATTTTTCAATCATACAGCGAAGCTGGCAGAATTGTGCAGTGAACACCCACATACCCACCACCTGGATTCTACTGTTAACCTTTTCCTGTGCTTGTCTGTTCATTCCTTACTCAACCCTCAGTCCATCTGGTTTCTTAATGTATTTCAGAGTAAGTTACCACCGTCTCTGCTCTTCCTTCCAAACGCTTTAGGAGGCAGTGATTAGCTAGAGCTCAAGTCGCTGCTCTTAATGAAATCGTTTTCCTTAGACAGGGGTGGTTCAGGTACCTCTCTGCCACCTTTTCCACCATTTCAGTGCCCCATATAAAGCTTCCTTTTCCAGCACACATAACTGAGTTCCTCTTGAGTCAGGCCCTCGGCTGGGTGAAAGCTTCAATTTGTCACCCAGAAGGCGGTGCAGAAATAGGCTTCGGAGTTAGCTGAATCTAGGCTTACGTCACTCTTTGTACTTCCTGGGACACGTTATTTCTCTGAACTTCTGTTTTTCTCTTCTGTAAAATGAGAATACTCCTTATGATTTCTGATGGCTTCTGAGAGGATTGACAGAAATAATTCAAGTGTCCATTAATTCAGCAGCTATTTATTGAGCCCTTACTCTGTGCCAGGAATGCTCTTAGGCATGGGAGAGTTTGCAGTGAGCAAGACAGACAGAAATCCCTGCTTTCTTGGAGCTGACATTCCCGTGGGAGGAGTTAAACAATAAACAAGGCTGGGCGTGATGGCTTACGCCTGTAATTCCAGCACTTTGGGAGGCCAAGGCGGGCGGATCACAAGGTCAAGAGATCGAGACCATCCTGGCCAACATAGTGAAACCCCGTCTCTACTAAAATACAAAAATTAGCTGGCTGTGGTGGCGCACGCCTATAGTTCCAGCTACTCGGGAGGCTGAGGCAGGAGAATTGCTTAAACCCAGGAGGTGGAGGTTGCAGTGAGCCGAGATCACACCAGTGCACTCCAGCCTGGCACATAGCAACAGAGCAAGACTCTGTCTCAAAAAGCAAACAAACAAAAATAAACCAATAAACAAATCTGTACCATAACATCAGGGATAAGTGCTACGATGGGATAGTGTGGGCAGCGGTGGTATTGGGGGTTGTGTGTTTTAGACAGGGGTGCAGGAAGGTCTCCTTGAGATGGCGAGCTTTAGTCAAATACCTGCATGGTGGGAGAGACCAAGCCATGTAGATATTGGTGGGAAGAACATTGCAGGGAGGGGGAACAGTGAATAAAAACCCCAGGGCAGGGCACGGCGTGGTCCAGGCTACACCCTTGCACGTCAGTGCTGCTGCTGCTGCGGAGCTTCTGTTTTGTTCTGGTGTTTCTGCTGCTCACCTGGCAAGAGGGTGATGAGCAGCGTTTGCTTTGGTGTAAGTAGGCAAACTGAGGCCCAGGTACAGAGGGGGGCTGCAGTGTGCTTGGGAAAGGCTCTAGCCCTTTGAGAAGGACACTCCTGGGCATTTCTGGCTCTGCCCAGCCTCGGCCGGGCCCCACAGCCCTGTGTCTGCGCCATTCTCAGGGAGAATGGGAACTGTCTGCTCCCCAGCCTGGGCCGCAATTGTTGGTTTCTCGGCTATTTCCTATGTGGAGTGATACAGCATGGGTGGCCGCCGTGGACCGTCACTCTGTCCCTGGTCTCTTCGCAGTGCCCATTCATGGACGAGCGGATCATGTGTTTACACAGTAAGATCAAGAGTCAGGCCCTGGAATTTCCAGACCAGTGAGTATCTCCCGCCATCCTGCGTCACCTCCCGGTCTGAGTTCTTGGCAGTCGTGTGTCTCCCACGCCTGATGTGTCTCCCACCCTGACATGTCTCCATCTGCAGGCCAGATATAGCTGAGGACTTGAAGGACCTGATCACCCGTATGCTGGACAAGAACCCTGAGTCGAGGATCGTGGTGCCGGAAATCAAGGTACCCTTGGCTCGGCCAGTGCCCGTGCTTGGAACTGTTTGGCTCAGCTCTGCCTCAGCCAGGCCCCACACCCTGTGTCCATAGCACCACACCCTCTTTGGCACTGCTGTTCTCCCAGGCCCCGGGGCCTCTGAGCTGCTGGGGGCTCTGTTGAGGGTTGGGGAAGAAGATGTGGGCATCGTGTGCACTGTGCTTGTGGAGTGGGATCTGTGACCAACCAGCCTGCACTTGCTCCGATTGGTGTGGGCCAACGGGATCCACCCACCGCCGGCCAGCCTGGGGCCCTGTGCTCCACTCCCTGCTGCCGGAACTCGGGTCCTTTCCAAAGGCCAGTCCCTTTGAGAAACTGCAGTGAGGATGGGAGGAAATTAGTGAGCAATTCTACCTCCCCAGCCTGCTGAAGTCCACCGTCTTGCAGAAAGCACTTTTAGGAAAGCGTCCTCCCCAACACTTCCCCACTAATGCCACACGCATACATCTGGCCCTTTAAGAAATCTAGAGAAAAGAAAAAAAAGAATGAAAAAAAAAAAAAGAAATCTAGAGATCGGCCGGGCACAGTGGCTCACGCCTGTAATCCCAGCACTGTGGGAGGCTGAGGCGGGTGGATCACCTGAGGTCTGGAGTTTGAGACCAGCCTGGTCAACATGGTGAAACCCATCTCTACTAAAAAATACAAAAATTAGCCAAGTGTGGTGGTGGTCACCTATAATCCCAGCTCCGTGGGAGGCTGAGACAGGAGAATCACTTGAACCCAGGAGGCAGAGGCCGCAGTGAGCCGAGATCATACCAGCTTGGGCAACAGAGCAAGACTCCATCTCACAAAAAGAAAAAGAAATCTAGAGATTTGCCTGGGGACCTTCTAGGCGCCTAGCTAACCAGCGTTTGAAGGTGTCTTAACAGGAGGCAGCCCAGAAAGTAATTTTAGGTTTAGGGCTTGGACCCAAGGGACAGACCCCTGTGTGGGTCCTCTCCTGATCGTGTCCTGCAGGCTGGTCTCACTGTGCCTGCTAGCATCTGTCTCGCCTGCTGTGAGGTGGGGAGAATGCCGCCTGCCGTGTGCCGAACCTCCCTGGTGTCCGGGATTATGGCTGAGGCGTGATGGAGGCTCCTGGGGCAGCCAGGCAAGGCAGATGCCAAATTCCAGCCACTTTGGCCAAGACCTGGGGCCGGATGGAGAATCGCCCTGCTCCCGTTTCAGCCTCCAAGCTCCTCCTGTCCTGTCTCTCCGTCTTCACGTTCCGCCCCTTTGCTCACCCCGCCCTCTGCTCGCCAGCTGTCTTGCATGCCTGACCACAGGCCCTCGCCTCTCCCTCCTGCATGCCCTCGTGTCTCCGCTCGCTGGCAGGGTCCTCCGGGAGCCAGCCGCGCCCGCCCCTCACCCCTCCTGTCGTTCATTGAAGCTGCACCCCTGGGTCACGAGGCACGGGGCGGAGCCGTTGCCGTCGGAGGACGAGAACTGCACGCTGGTCGAAGTGACCGAAGAGGAGGTCGAGAACTCAGTCAAACATATTCCCAGCCTGGCAACCGTGGTAAGGTGGCCGGACCCCTGACCAGAGCAGGGACCCAGGAGCCTGAGGTGGGGCCTGGCCTGGACAGGCAGGACACAGGCGGGTGCCTGGGAGTCAGGAGATGGCTGGGGGCCGCCCCTAACCCACAGCTGCTGGCCTCTGGGCCTCGGTCACACATCAGGCCAGGTGACCCCTGCATCTTCTGAGCCAGGTTCCATGTTACCATAGGGAGGGGGGAGTTTCTCCTTCTGGAATTCCTGCTTTCAGAGCTTATCAGGGGAGAGTAACTAGAAGTGCCAGGCAGGAGCAAGGGCTGGGAGCCGGGGCTGAGGTCGCTAAGCCGGGATTCCCACCTGGCTGGACTTTCAGGCTCCAGGGTGGATGGTGTAGCACATCTCACGCCTGCTGTGTGGGCAGCCACCAGGAAAGTTCTGCCCATCTCTTGAGGGTGGGATTTTGCTTAGGAGCTGCCAGGTCCCCTTTTATGGCCTTGAATTTGGATCCTGACCCGGGAAGAAGCAGCCAGAATGTCAAGTCCTCAGGCCTAACCTGGGAGGCTCTGGGAATTGCCACTGATCAAGTCCCTGTCCAGGAGGGCAGCTAGCTCCAAGAGGGAGGCCAGGAGTCCTGGGGGTCCAGGCTCTAGGTAGCAGGCCTAGGGACAGAGACCAGCAGATTGTCCTACCACAGCCACTTCGAAAGGCCTGGTTGCAGTTGGCCAGCACTGGTCCCAGGGGCCGGTAGGCCCTGGGCTCTGGGAGGAACCCGTGAGACTGACTGCAAAGGCACAGAAGGTCCAGCTGTGAGAGACTGGCCCTGTAGGGGCCCGGGTGCCGCCCTCTCCCCCAGCTTTGCAGCTCTCCTCTCTTCTTCCCCACACACTTGCTCTCTTCTCCTTCCAAAGCTGAGCCCTGGCTGGGGCATCCATCCACATCTTCCTCCACTCCTTCCCCCCGGGGCTGCGCATGACCTTCACTGCTGAAGACTCACTCACCCCCACGCACCCTTCCTCAGCCACCCGCCCACCCCCTGTGCCTGTAGATGGGGAGACAGCTGGCGTCGGACTCTGCACCCACTGTGGGTTACTCTGTTCCAGGCTTGGGATGTACCAGTCCTGAATCAGTTGCCCTCCCTTTCCTCCCCAGCTCTCAGCTGCAGGTTCTTGGGAGAACGTGTCTGACCCTGGAGGTCTGGAGTAGGCATTCATTATTCGGGAAACACTTGTGGAACGCCAGGCTGGGAGCAGGGGCTAGGTGATAAGCAAACCCCCATGGCCCCTGCCATGCTTGCGAGGCAGATGCTGGTCAAACCAGCAAATGTATGTACAGTGCGAGACACGCCCCTAATGGAGGGACACCTGGCCCCACTTAGAAGAAGTGGATAGACACCGAAAGATGGCAGGGTGTTAACGCCGCGGAGAGAGGGTGGAGGGGGCTAACACACCCGGGCAGGGCCACTGAAGCAGGGCAAGGAAGTGGCGGGGAGGGTGTGGCGAAGCTTTACATCTTCACTCCAAGAGCCATGGGTTCGAACCAGGGCAGCTGGAGCAGGGATGGGCATGTAGGTACTGGGAAAGGGTCTCACTCGGAACAGGATTGCAAGGTATAGGCCCCCTCCATGTGTTCATCATTCAGGAAACACAGACAGCAGCATGTGCCAGGCAGGCACAGGTGTCAAAGATGAGCATGGCCCAGTGCCAGCTCTCGGGGGTCGGGGGGTGGAGCTCCTTCCTTGTATGAAAGCTGGACCTGGGAAGAATCAGCCTCTGTTGCGATCAGAGGTGCGAGGGCTGGGGGCTTCACAGAGGGGGAGTTCCTGCCCTGAGTTGACAAGGCCACAGGGGAGGTGGCAGGGCAGGCTCACCTGGGGAAGTGACACCTGCCCAGGCTCAGAGGAAAGAGGGGCTGGCGTATCCCAGTGACTGTAGGTAGGAACCTCAGCAGGGGAAGAGGCCTTCATTCCCAAAGTTGGTGCTGCTTTTTTTCTTTCTTTTTTTTTTTTTTTGAGATGGAGTCCTCCGTCGCCCAGGCTGGAGTGCAATGACACGATCTTGGCTCACTGCAACCTCCGCCTCCTGGGTTCAAGCACTTCTCCTGCCACAGCCTCCTGAGTAGCTGGGATTACAGGTGCCCATCACCACGCCCAGTTAATTTTTGTATTTTTAGTAGAGACGGGGTTTCACCATGTTGGCCAGGCCGGCTCAGGTGATCTGCCTGTCTCAACCTCCCAAAGTGCTGGGATTACAGGCGTGAGCCACCACACCCAGCTCCCACCTTCTTTTAAATGGAGGTAGAATTCACATAAAGTTAAAGTCAGTGGCATTTGGGACATTGTCAGTGGCGTGCAGTTATCCCCTCCATAGTTCTGAACATTTTCATGACTTTACACCCTCATCCATCAGCAGTCACCCTCCTTTCCCCTCCCCCCAGCCCTGGCACCGACTCCCCTGCCCTTTGTGTCTATAGATTTCTGTATTCCGGTGGAATCCTACACTGTGTGGCCTTTTGGGCCTGGCACTGCTGCAGGCTGGATCAGTGCTTCATTCCTTTTATGGCTGAATCATGTTCCTTCACATAGACCACTTTGAGTTTATCTGTTCTTCATTTGATGGGCATTTGGGTGTTTCCACCTTCTGGTAAATCAATGTGTCTAAAAAAGAAACTTTTTTTTTTTTTTTTTTTTTTTTTGTGGGGTTTTTGGTTTTTCCCCTTTTTTGGAAAAAAATGTTGTTAAAAAAAAAAATTTTTTTTTTTTTTTTTTTTTTGAGACAGTCTTGCTCTGTCGCCCAGGCTGGAGTGCAGTGGCACAATCTCGGCTCACTGCAACCTCCACCTCCTGGGTTCAAGCCATTCTGCTGCCTCAGCTTCCTGAGTAGGTGGCACTACAGGCGCATGCCACCACTTCTGGCTAATTTTTGTATTTTTAGTAGAGACAGGGTTTCACCATATTGGCCAGACTGGTCTCGAACTCCTGACCTTGTGATCCGCCTGCCTCAGCCTTCCAAAGAGCTGAGATTACAGGTGTGAGCCACCGTGCCTGGCCTCAATGTTTCTTAAACACTTATTTTTCTTGTTAGCAGCAAATGCTTAAAAAGTCAGAAGCTCAGTGAATTCCTGAAACAGCTTGAAGGGGCACCTTCAAGGTGGGGGTGGGGTGAGGGGCCCAGTGACTCTTATGGGGTCCGCAGGCCGTTCTTTTCATGGGAAATGGCAGCCAAGAGCATCACCAAGGCTGATTGTTTACGCCCTTGCTCCAGAACTTTCTGGGGCTCTCTGGCTGGCCACAGGCCAAGTTCCAGACCACTCTGGGTGAGGATTCTGAGTCAGGGAGTGAGGGGACCAGATCTGGGTTTTGGAAGGAATGGGAGGGAGGGAAGTGCAAAGCAGGAGGTCTGGGAGAGGCGCTGAGCAGTGGCTGAGGGGTGTGGTGCAGGATTCGCCTTTTCCCAGAGGATTCTCTCGGCAGGGGTTGGTGGGGGACTGTTTCCCAGCCAGGCTGCCTATGTGGTCTGTGTTTAGTATGGGCAGAGCTGGGCCACCATTGAGGCCAGCTCCCATCGTCTCTCAGAAACACCTTCTAGGGTGGCCAAGCTCTTCTCCTCACACCACACCAGCTTGTGACCTGGCCATCCTCAGCGTTCTGGGATGTTTCCCGTCCCCGACTAAGACACAGTGCCCTGCGAAACTGGTACCCTGGTGCGTTGCTGGGGGGAATGTAAAATGCCGTGGCTGCTGTAGGAGACAGTCTTATATTTCCTCAAGGTGTTCAACATAGAATTACCACGTGACCCAGAAATGCCTCTCCTTGTCTGTGCCCAAGAGAAATGACATTTTGTGTGGGTAACATGTTTATACCAAAATTCATACATGAATGTTCATAGCAGCGCTATTCACAGTAGCCAAAGGGTAGGAATGCATGTCCATCGGTAGATGAACTGAGAAGCTGAATGTGGTCCATCTGTGCAGAGTGTTACTGTTGGGCCACAGAAGGCAGCGAAGCACTGATCACGCTCCAGCACTCAGGAGCACGACGCTCAGAGAGAAGCCGGACACAACAGGCCACGTGTGGTATGATTTCATCTATAGGAAGGTCCCGGATGGGTCAGTGTGCACAGACAGGGAGGTTAGTGGTCACCAGAGGCTGGAGGAAGGGCGAGTGAGGCGTGCCTTGCTAACAGGCTTGGGGTGTCTTTTTGGGGTAATGCAAATGTTCTGAAATTAGATAGCGGGGCTGTGAATATACTAAAAACCATTGAATCATATACTTTACGATGGTGGGAGCCAGGCCTGGTGGCTCATGCCTGTAATCCCAGCATTTTGGGAGGCCGGGGTGGGCGGAACGCCTGAGGTCAAGGGCTCAAGACCAGACTGGCCAATATGGTAAAACCCCATCTCCACTAAAAATACAAAAATCAGTTGGGCGTGGTGGCAAGTGCCTGTAGTCCCAGCTACTTGGGAGGCTGAGGCAGGATAATCCCTTGAACCTGGGAGGCGGAAGTTGCAGTGAGCTGAGATTGCACCACTGCACTCCAGCCTGGGTGACAGAGCAAGACTCCACCTCAAAAAAAGAATAGTTTATGTCATGTGAATTATATTTTGATTTTTGTTGTTTTCAAACCCATGTATTTTTTTTTCTCTATTTCAATAGGTTTTTGGGAGCAGGTGGTGTTTGGTTACGTGGATAAGCACTTTAGTGGTGATGTCTGAGATGTTGGTGCGCCCGCTACCTGAACAGTATACACCGCACACAGTGTGCAGGCTTTTATCCCTCACCCATCCTCCCACCCTTCCCGCCAAGTCCCCAAAGTCCATTGTGTCATTCTTAGACCTTTGCGTCCTCATAGCTTAACTCCCACTTATAAATAAGAAGATATGATGTTTGGTTTTCCATGCCTGAGTTACTTACTTTTGTATGTCTCAATTTTGAAAAAGCAGCCCGACTCTCAGAATCATACCTAGGAGGCAATAGTTTCTCGCTGCGGTGGTCATAGACAGCTTTCACCAAAAATAAAGGCCTCACCTTAAAGATGAGACAGGCTGAGGGGCCTGGGGAGCCTATCCAGCCGTGGCTCCCGTGAGACAGAGGTGCCAGTGTGCCTGAGGGATGGTGCAGGCCCACTCTCCTGGAGCACAGGCCTGTAGGGGTTGGTGAGGCAGGGACTAGATGATGGCCAGCCTTGAATGTCAGACCAGGGGGTTGGGACCTTATCTTGATGGCAGCCAGGGAACCACAGGAGGTTTTGGAACAAGTCAGACTTAAGGATGGCTCTGTCACATGCACCCAGGTGGGAAGGACATTGCCAGTTTCTCTCAAAGGCCTGCCATAGGCCACTAGCCCTGGGAGCTGGCAGGGGCTGGGGAGAAGGAAGAGGGAGGGTGTTGCCTGGAATCGCCCCCACCTGCCAGGCAGTCACCTGCCACCTCCTCTTTTCTCCCTCTTCAGATCCTGGTGAAGACCATGATACGGAAACGCTCCTTTGGGAACCCATTTGAGGGCAGCCGGCGGGAGGAGCGCTCGTTGTCAGCGCCTGGAAACCTGCTCACGTGAGTGGCTGACTGCCTTCTTGGGTGGGGGAGTGGGTGGCTGGAGGCTGAGCTTGGGGCAGCCCTGCCCATCCCACTCTGCACAGGCCCTCCCTGAAGTGGTGCTATCTGGAGAGACTCAGATGAAAGCCGCCTGATGCACCGGGGCAGTCAGCACCCCTTCCTGGGCTCAGCCCACCCCCTTTTGCTGATGGCTAAGCCACCTGAAGTTTACCTTTCTCGGGGACTTGCACCGTAGTTGGGGGTGCTCTGCGTGGTCGGAAGGAAAGCACTTTTCTGGGCCGGGGAGTGTGAGTGCCTGAGTGGGAGGTTGAGGCTCTGCGATGCGTGAGTGAGCAGCGTGGTCTCACTCAGGACCCCATGTGTCCAGGCGGAGAGGTGTCCACTCATGGGCTGTCAACACCATCCTGGCTCCAGCTCTCTGAAGCTGGTGTTTGGGGTGTGAGTGTCTCTGGGGTGGGGGAACGGGCATCCCATGGATCCCAAGGTTCCCTTCTCATGTCCCTTTTCCCTCCCTCTGGTGATTCCAGCAAAAAAACAACCAGGGAATGTGAGCCCCTGTCTGAGCTCAAGGTAATGCCTGCCTGCCTGTGCCGTAGCCTCTGCTGGGGTCTGGGGGTGGGGGCAGCTGCAGAGCACGGGGCATCCCCACCTAGGCAGATGTTCCTTCCAGCCTGGGCCGCTGTGGCCAGGCTCACCACGGGCCTCCAGACCCAGTATTAGAACGAGGGGCCTCGGGGGCTTGGACCCGATGGTGAGTCATGCATGTGGGCTGGGGCTGCGGGTGCATGGCGCTCCAGCTGGAATGCCTGCGGATGCACCCAGGTCTGAAGACCCCTGTGGCACACACGTCTCCTCAGTGCACGTCAATGGCATTGAAGCTCTGTCATGGGGCCCATGGGTGCCCCAGCGAGTCCGCATGGTCAGAGCATAGGTCAGGCATGCTGCACTGCGTGGCTCTTCGCTCAGGGCTCTCTGGCCTCCACTCTTCTTTCTTTGATGTGTTTAGACCTAGAAAATAAATCCCCTTCCTGCCTGTTGCAAAGTAATGTAAGCGTTCTGTCACCCAAGTGGGATGCAGACCTTCTTGCTGTCAGCCACGCTTCCTTCACACACATACCCAGCCCGGTGACCAGAACCTCCCAGGTCAGATGAGGCTTTGTGTCCTATGAGACTGGGGGAATCTGCTGGGCACCCCTGCTGCAGGTGCCATGGTGGGTGGGGACCCCACTGTCCTTCCCAATGAGCCCATCCGTCGTGGCCACCTGATTCGGTGGGCGCTCCAGGCAGTCTCTTCTTTTTCTTTCTTTCTTTTTTTTTTTGAGATGAAGACACCCTCTGTCTCCCAGGCTGGAGTGCAGTGGTACAATCTCGGCTCACTGTAACCTCCGCCTCCTGGGTTTAAGAGATTCCTCTGCCTCAGCCTCCCGAGTAGCTGGGACTACAGCTAATTTTTGTATTTTTAGTAGAGACGGGGTTTCACCATGTTGGCCAGGATGGTCTCAATCTCTTGACCTCATGATTCACCCACCTTGGCCTCCCAAAGTGCTGGAATTACAGGTGTGAGCCACTGCGCCTGGCCCTGTTTCTTGAAAATAGCTTTATTGAGGGTATAATTCACATACCATGTCATTCACCCATGGGAAGGGTACGATTCAGTGCTTTCTGATACAGTCAGAGTTCTGCAGCCATCACCACCATCAACTTTAGGAGATTTTCATCAGCCCAAGAAGACACCCTACACTTCTAAGCTGTTCCCATCCAACTCCCCCACGCCAGCAACCACTCACCTTTTAATTTTCTATGGATTTGCCTATCCCGGACATTTCATATAAATGGCATCATACACTACGTGGCCTTTTGTGTCTGGCTTCTTTCACTTAGCATCGTTTTCGAGGTTCATCCATGCTTTATGTGCATTAGTGCTTCACGTCTTTTTGTGGCCAAATAATATTCCATTGTATGGACACGCCTCACTTTGTTCATCTATTCACCTGTGGATGGACTTGTCTCCACCTTTTGGTTCTTGAATGCAGACTGATGCTATGAACATTGGCGTACAGGTGTCAGGAGTTGGCTTACGAGATGCAGTGGATTGGCCACCCATCCCGTGGGAGTAGGGAGTCAGGGCTTATGTGGTAATCTAGGAGGAACAGCTGTTTGGGAATTATTTATGCTTTTGAGAGAAACCTTGCCCTCCAGCATAGAGCAGGGAAAATGGCAATCCCTCAGAGCCGGTCTTCAGCACCTCAGAGGCGGACAGAGTCCCCCACCTTGTGCCCAGACAGATGCCTGGGCAGCCCGGCCCTGGGTGTGAGCCTCACGGGACGATGGAGTGGAAACCCAGTGGGTTGGCCTGTCCTCGGCCTTCCTCCTCTCAGTCTCCATTTTAGGGTCTGCCACCAGACTGGGGCTACCTCCCGTCCGGGAGCAAGGGCTTATGTGGTAATCTAGGAGGAACAGCTGTTTGGGAATTATTTATGCTTTTGAGAGAAACCTTGCCCTCCAGCATAGAGCAGGGAAAATGGCAATCCCTCAGAGCCGGTCTTCAGCACCTCAGAGGCGGACAGAGTCCCCCACCTTGTGCCCAGACAGATGCCTGGGCAGCCCGGCCCTGGGTGTGAGCCTCACGGGACGATGGAGTGGAAACCCAGTGGGTTGGCCTGTCCTCGGCCTTCCTCCTCTCAGTCTCCATTTTAGGGTCTGCCACCAGACTGGGGCTACCTCCCGTCCGGGAGCAAGTCTGCCAAGTCTGCTGTTGGTTTCTTTTCTATTTTCTTTTTTGAGAGAAGGCCTTGCTCTGTCACCGAGGCTGGAGTGTAGTGGCATGATTTCGGCTCACTGCAACCTCTGCCTCCTAGACTCAAGTGATTCTCCTGCCTCAGCCTCCTGCATAGCCGGGATTACAGGTGCTCACCACCATGCCTGGCTAATTTTTATATATTTTTTAGTAGAAACGGGGTTTCCCCATGTTGGCCAGTCTGGTCTCGAACTCCTGACCTCAGGTGATCCGCCTGCCTCAGCCTCCCAGAGTGCTGGGATTACAGACATGAGCCACCGTGGCTGGCCCTATTTTCAATGAGATCAAAATTGCAAGACAGCAGCAGATGGAGATTGGCTCAAAGGGCTGTACCGCCCCTTCCTCCCCTCACCTGGGATCCCCTGCCCTCAGCCCCCAGCAGGTGGGATGCCTTGGTCTTGGGAGCTCACAGAGCTGATTCAGGCAATGGGGGTCTTGGACTGGAGGCCCCTCTGCCATCTACAATAAGAACCAGCCCCTACCCACAGGCAATGCAAGGGTGGAGACTGAAGGCCTGGCCTGATGTCTTGTTACAGTGCCTCCTCCCCGGGATCTTCCCAGCCTTTTTCATCAGAAACATAGCAAGCCAGACATGACGCTTTCTCTTCCCTTGTGTAAGGACAGGCTCCCGCCTGGACAGGAGACACAGATTGCTGTTGGGGAAGGACAGACAGTGACCCATGTGGCATGCCCAGTGGCCTCCCTAAGATCGGGGGAGCTGTGTGATGCTGGTGAGGAGATGGGCCCCTCCTTGGGGATTCCCCTCGTACCTGTCACACCATCCACGCTGTCACACCTGCGGCTCTAGCCTGGGCTCTTCAGGGACACAGGGTCTCTCCTCCCCCGACTTCCAGGAAGGAAGGGGCCTCCTCTTCTGTCTGAGGGGGTCCTCCCCCAGGACTGGCTGTGGGAGGGCTGAGGCGGGAGGATCACTGGAGGAGTTGTCAGCAGCCCTTTCCTGAGGGCCAGCAGTGTGCCAGGCCGGGGGGAGGCCCTGATCACCCCCCACACACACATACACACAAGGAACTCAACAGCTGGTGACTGAGGACAGTGTCACAGTCCCTTCCCTGCTAGAGCTCATAACCTAGGTGGGGGTCGAGGTACCTAAAAACCTGGCATGACAGGCACCGTGGGGTGGGGTGGGGGCACGTTCTACTTGGGATTTGTGCAGTGATTCTTGGTGTTACATAGTTTTGCAACTGTTGTACAGCTCCTTGCTAATTTTGGCAGATGATGCTGGTCTTTCATTTACAGAGGGGTTGGCTGCAAAGTCTTCTTTGAAAAATGTATGTGAGCAAAGAAAAGGGGGAGAGGATCTCAAAGACTGGGTTATGTAGATCATGTTCCGGGGGTGTGCGATGGCTCACTTGGGCAGGGGGGCCCAGATGTGCGAGCAGCTGGCTCAAGAGCCTCGCTGGCGTATCTTGGAGTCTTAACGTTGGTTTTCTGTTCGGTGAGCAGGAAGCAAGGCAGCGAAGACAACCTCCAGGGCACCGACCCGCCCCCCGTGGGGGAGGAGGAAGTGCTCTTGTGAAAGGCAGCCCCTGTGTGGAAAGTTGCGGGGCCCCTGCCCCCGGCTCCCCCACACCCATGCATCCACCGCAGCTGGAGGAGGCGATGGAGTCCGAGTAGCTGCCTGGACCGCTCGACCTCGCATGCACGCCGCGTCGCCTCTGCGGGGCTGCTACACCCGCGTTTCCATAGCAGCATGTCCTACGGAAACCGAGCACGTGTGTAGAGCCTCGATCGTCATCTCTGGTTATTTGTTTCTTCCTTTGTTGTTTTAAAGGGGAAAAAAAAAAAAAAAAGGACTTGACTCCGTGACGTGGACCTTGGCCGCTGGCTGGCTGAACAGGCAGGTGTGAGGAGTGGCAGACCCAAACCCATGTGCATTTTGGGACAGTTGCTTTTTAAAACGTTTTTATGCCAAAAATCCTTCATTGTGATTTTCAGGACCGTGTCAGATAGACCAAGTGAGTGTGTGTGGGGTTTGACAACTGTGGGAAAGTGAGCAGAAAACTCCGACGGTCTGAGGCCATGGAGGTGGTTGCTGCATTTGAGAGGGAGTAGGCGGGTAGATGTGGCTCCTTGTGCAAACCCAAACCGTGGCACCTTCCAGAGTTGTGGACTCCAGGAGGCAGAGTGGGGCTGGCCCTCAGTAACTGCAGGGAGCTCTGATGCAACTTATTTCTAAGAAGGATTTTTAAATTTTTTTTATGGGTAGAATTGTAGTCAGGAAAACAGAAAGGGCTTGAAATTTAGTAAGTGCTTCTAGAAGGGGATTTTCCAAGCCTGGAAGGGTATTTGGCAGCTGTGGAGGGAAAAGTTTCTCCTGAAAGACTGAGCGTGTTTCTTCATAACAGCCGCTGAAAGCAGGTTTCTGAGATAGTTGACCAAGCTCTGGTAAATCTCTTTGACAGATTACAAAAACTTCAGGTGAAATCCTATGCTTCCATGTACATTACAAGGCTTACGATTAAACAAAAAATATTTTCAAGTCTCTAACTAAACTCTAGAGCACAGTAGTTCAGAAATGATTTAGAGCTTCCAGGATCTAGTTCACGGCTCAGGCATGTGATCAGTTAGAGCCGATGAAACCTATGCCTGTCTGTATATATTAGCAGCTTAGCTAGTTCATAAACTGTGTATTCTAGAGACCGCTAAGGTTTTGTTTTCATTTTAAATCCTAGCTGATTGTTGTGGTCAATGAAATACCCAGTTTCTGGAGGGCCAGTTGGGAAATGCTTTCACTGGACTGACACACAAGTAATCCTCCTGAGGATCTGAGCTTCCCTAGACTCCATACAGTAACCTTGGCACCCTTTTAGAGAAGACGGTTAAAACCCACAGCACTCCTCAGGGCATGAGGAAACCAGGGCTGGGCACGGGAAGTTCCCCTTTGTAGCTAAAAGTCCAGAAAGGCAGGGTTCATCTTTTTGACTTCCAATTAATATTGGGAAGTTTGGTTGAGGTTCCAGTGTGACTCCTTTCAGAGCTACGGGTGGGGGAGGGTGAAACTGAGGGGGAGGAAAGCTGGAAAGACTCCGCCCTGGGAGATTCCCAGCTCTGCTTTCCAGCGCTTGGCAGAATCTGAGTTGGGGAAAGACCGTACCAGGAAGTGGGTTCAGAAGACTTTGCTTCCCCGTTGTTTCCACCTGATCAGCCCTGGTGTGAGGACTTCTCAGACGAAGGCAAGGCCTTATACCCCTGCCCAGCCCGTTCATAGAGCTCTGGGTATTCTTGGCTTCCATAGATCCTAACTAAGCTCTTGACTGTAGTTTAGCCAGACTTTTCTTGTTATCTTATAAGCAGTTCAGAATTAGGGAATGCTGGCTTTGAAGAGCAAAGGACAGGTCGTCTAGAGAGTGTCATCTGGCCTGCTTGCTGGGTCTTTTGTCATCCAGCACTTCCTCTTGCACTTCTTCTTTACATTTATGGGAAAGGACTCAATGGCCCCAGCCCCCCTGGCACTAGATGGGGCTTGGCTAGTTTGCAATAAGCACCTTGCAGAGGTTAAAGCCATCAGGTCCCTAGTCCGAGGCCCAGCCTGCCTGTGGGCTCTGGCCTGGCCTGGTGGCTGGCCCAGGGGGCGGCAGCGCTCAGAGCTTCTGCAGGGCTTCTCTTGTTTACACAGCTGCATCCGACAATGCCATTTCTCCCCACCACGGAAATTTCCATCTAAGATTTCTTCCGGGGAATGCCAGCAATCAGGCAGCACCCAGCTGTTGGGGCAGTGGGGTGGGAGAGGCCCACATTGATGACTTTTTTTTTTATACGAAGAAACACCAAAGAAAGCTGTGGAAAGGACCTGTCCCACCTGAAAAGGATAAGCCAAGATGGCTGTAAACACAAAGCATTTGAGCTACACTCTCTCTCGGAGCACACTGATTTTTCAAATGCCAGCTCTGTCGGGAAAGGAGGCGCTGTTATGAGCAGCTCTTCCAGTGGGCACAGAGGACGCCCATCATTTCCTCCATTGCTGGCTCATCTGTGGGACCAATCTGGTGTAAGCAACCTGTGGCCTGCACCTGTGGCCTCGAAGGAAGCACAAACCATCCACTTTCCATTTCCTCGGCCCTTTTCCACCGCCCCCTTCCATGCCACCAGTTGCCAGTGGCTCCCAGAAAGCCTTATCGAGCCCCTTGTTGACACTTGGGGCTGCAGAGGCCTCTCCCCACTGGTCTGGCCTTTCCTGAGAGGCAGGGCTCCCATCCTCGGCCTTTCTGGAACAAGGAGGATGCCTGTGCAGGTGGATACACAGGCCTGGTTTGTTGCTGTCACTCGTCTTCCAGTGGGGAGCTTCCAGTGGGGAGCTTCACGTTGCCGAGTGGAAGAATCATGACCTCCACTTGCTTCCAAGGTGCTAGGGAAGTTTCAGGGTATGCTGGTTCCCCGCTCCAGCTGGAGGCCGAGTTTCTGGGGACTGCCAACTTTTCTACTCTATGATTGATTCAACGCCCGATGCTTCTGTTTGTTTCCTAACCCTTTCTACTATGCATTTTCCTTTTATCAGGTGTGCAGAGTTAAATACTGTGTATTTATCACTAAAAAGTACATGAACTTAAGAGAAAAATAAGCCCTTGGTGTTTTTCCACAGATGTTTAAGCTTCTCTGTAAAGTTGAAATAAATAGCAAAATGGTGCAAAGCCGGGGCCTGTTTGGGATGTTTGTGTTGGTGGTTGCGTTTGTGTTGGTGGTTGTGTACTCAGGCTGTCTGCCCTGATGTGTGTATTCCTGCCTTAGGCTGACAGCAGGGTCAGATGCGCAAGTCAAAGCTACTGTATTTGGCAAATCTCGAATTGACAGCATGTCCTAGGACCTCGCTACTCAGTGTGTGGGCTAGAAATGCAGCTGCCAGCCGGGCGCGGTGGCTCACGCCTGTAATCCCAGCACTTTGGGAGGCCGAGGCAGGCGGATCACCTGAGATCGGGAGTTTGAGACCAGCCTGACCAACATGGAGAAAACCCATCTCTACTAAAAATACAAAAAATTACCCAGGCATGGTGGTGCATGCCTGTAATCCCAGCTATTCAGGAGGCTGAGGCAGGAGAATTGCTTGAACCCGGGAGGTGGAGGTTGTGGTGAGCTGAGATCACACCACTGCACTCCAGCCTGGGCAACAAGAGCAAAACTCCATCTCAAAAAAATAAATATAAAAAAGAAGTGCAGGAGGCAGCCATGACTGTAGCTGAAGCCTGCAGTCCCAGCACTTTGGGAGGCCAAGGTGGGCGGATCATGAGGTCAGGAGTTCAAGACCAGACTGACCAACATGGTGAAACCCTGTCTCTACTAAAAAATACAAAAATTAGCTGGGCATGGTGGCTCGTGCCTGTAATCCCAGCTACTTGGGAGGCTGAGGTAGGAGAATTGCTTGAACTGGACCCGGGAGGCGGACGTTGCAGTTACCCGAGATCGCGCCACTGCACTCCAGCCTGGGCTACAGAGCGAGACTCCATCTCAAAAAAAATTTTAATCGAGTGTGGTGGTGCATGCCTGTGGTCCCAGCTACTCGGGAGGCTGAGGTGGGAGGATTGTGTGAGCCCTGGAGGTCAAGGCTGCAGTGAGCCGTGATCATGCCACTGCATATCAGCCTGGGCAACAGAGCAAGACCCTGTCCCAAAGATTAAAGAAATGCAGATGCCCAGGCTTGGCTTAAACCTGCTCCATAGGTGAGTCATCTGCATGCTGAAGTTTGAGCAGCACTGCTCTTGCAGGCAGGTAATTGCAAGATTCTGGTGGAGGCCAGACAGCTGCGTAGCCCCCGAGCGGTCTCAGTCACACTGAGCTATGGCCTGCCATGCCACATGAGGCTTTGCCCCATGAGGTAGGCATTAGCCACTTTTATGGATCATCATCTGTGAGGTGAGACTCCAAAAAGTCAGTCATCCAAGGGTTAGAATTTGCCAGCAAAACCCTTCTGGTTTTTTTCTTTTTCTTTTTTGAGACAGGGTCTCGTTCTGTCATCCAGGCTGGAGTGCAGTGGCAGTCTTGGCTCACTCCAGCCTCCACCTCTCAGGCTTAAGTGATCCATCCATCTTAGCCTCCAAAGTAGCTGGGACCACAGGGGCCTGCTGCCACACTCAGATAGTTTTTTAATTTTTTTTTTTTTTTTTAGACAGAGTCTTGCTCTGTCACCCAGGCATTGCTTTCCTGGCTTTGAACCTCATTTTTCCGTTATCAAGGGGCAGCAGATGAGTCTGAGATTCCTGTCGATTTCTGCAGAAATACGACATTAAAATCCTGGCCTTTAAGGGTCGGGAGCAGGGGGTTCCTGTTAAAGCTCTCATGAATCTGACAAAAGTGACAGGAAGTGCATGCAGGTGCACCACCATGCAGCAGTGCTTTAGGCATTTCTGGACTCCTGGAATCCCATCCCCAGATATGAGGCTGAAGGTCGGCTACTTAGGAGGCGGCCACCAGGGGGCCCCAATGAGTAGGGGGTGGCACAGCTGAATGCAAGGTAACTCCGGTGAGTAGATGAGCAGTGACCCCCACAGCCATCCCTCACCCCAACACTGGCTTGCTTTCACATTTTTATTTTATAAAAGAGGAGGCTAAACGACATCTCTCCCACCTCAGAAGATAGCCAGTGACGATCACTGCTTAACCAGCAAGATCACAGACACACCCATTGCCTTAAGTCTGTTTTGTGCTGCTGTAACAGAGGACCTAAGACTGGGTAATTTGTAAAGAACAAAAATTGATTTCTCACACTTCTGAAGGGCAGGAAGTTCAAGAGGAAGGTGCCGGCTGGTTTGGTATCTGGTGAGGGCTGCTTTTTGCTTCCAAGAGGGTGCCTTGATGCTGCATCCTTTGGAGGGAGGAACATTTGTCCTTGCACGGCAGAAGGTGGCAGGGCAAAGAGTGGATGCACTCCCTCTATAGCCCTCCTAGAGGGCACTGGCCCCATTCATGAGGGCATTGCAG